AGTCGAGGACTACCCAACCGGTCGTAAGTCGAGGACTTTCCCTGCCCGGGAGCGCCGCGCATGCGTGGTTCCGCCCCCTGCGCCGGCCGAGGCGTAGCTGGCAAGCGGCAGAGACAGAGCAGGCCGACCACCAGCTGGCCCAGCCCAAGGGAGGTAAGGCACCCGCCGGAAAAGGGGGAAAAAATGGCAGACAAAAAAAATGGCAGACAAAAAAAATAGCGGACAGCCTTGCTTGGCGACCCCCGTGAAATGGTCGATCGACCCCAAATGGGGTCCCGACCCACAGGTTGAGAACCACTGACCTACAAGGTTCGCCATCACTGCCTTATCTCCTTCAACCTAACTCTGCTCCCTCATTTAACCTCTGCTTCTCTTTCAACCATGTTCAAGATTTCGGCTTCTCTCTTTGCTTTCACCCTCAAAGGTCCCCTTTTCCATACACAGGCAGTCCTCGGCTGACGTACACAACTGAGCCCAGGATTTATGTGCTGAGCGAGACCTTTGTTAAGTGAGTTTTGCCCCATTTTACGGCTTTTCTGGCCATGTTTGTTAAGCAGGTCACTGCGGTTGTTCAGTCAGCAACACGGTTTGTTAAGTGAATCTGGCTTCCCCGTCGACTCTGTCAAAAGGTCGCAAAAGGGGATCACCTGACCCCAGGACCCTGCAACCGTCATAAATGTGAACCAGTTGTCAAAGGATCCAAATGAAATCACGTGACCATGGGGATGCCTCAATGGTCGTAAGTGTGAAAAAATGGTCATAAGCCACTTTTTTCAATGTTGTAGTAACTCTGAACGGTCACTAACCGAACTGTTGTTAAGTCGAGGATTACCTGTACATTATTTATATATATTGTGTGTACATCTATCTACTATCTATCCATCCATCCATCCATCTACCCATCCACCACCCATCCACTTACCTACCTACCTGCCCACCCATCCATCCATCCCACCTATCTACCTATCCACCCACCCACCCACCTAACTATCCATCCACCCACACACCACACACCCATCCATCCCCACACCTATCTACCTATCCACCCACCCACCCAACTATCCATCCACCCACACACACCACCTATCCATCCATCCATCCATCCCACCTATCT